AAAAAAAAATAAACAAACATTAAAAAAAATTTTTTTTTAAATAATAAAATCTTTTTTTTTTTTTAAGTTTTTATTTATTTTTGAGACAGAGAGAGACAGAGCATGAATGGGGGAGGGGCAGAGAGAGAGGGAGACACAGAATCCGAAGCAGGCTCCAGGCTCTGAGCTGTCAGCACAGAGCCTGACGTGGGGCTCGAATTCACGGACTGCGAGATCATGACCTGAGCCGAAGTCGGACGCTTAACCGACTGAGCCACCCAGGCGCCCCAAAAATAAAATCTTAAAAAACAAAAAAACAAAAAAAAACTTTGCCATACTTACCAAAGATGGATTTGTTAGAAGTAGCTTTGATACTTAGAGGAGCAGTGATACAAGTTTATTTTATTAGTGATAATGGTGAATTATAAAGAAACTTTAATGTTTTCTGAGAATTCATATTGTTACCTTAAGCTTTCACATTTCTTCAAATTCATAGGTTTTAAAAAGTCTGTCTGGATTTGTTGTCAAAGCTGGGAGGCAGGTTTAATCATCTCCTCATGGTAATGATCTTTTTAGAAATTAAAGCCTTATATTTGGAATTTATAATCATAGATATGGTTCTAGACAAAAAGTTTTAAGAAAACAAATACTTAAACCGTAAATAGTATGTGTATTCAGTTGATGAACTCATTACCAAGCCTGGTTAAAGTAATATTTCCACTAATGGCCTCTTCTAATGTCTACCTCTAAGGAAATATTTTTAGTTTCTGTTGATTTTGATGTATGTGGTTTGAAAGTGATTTTCTTCCCTCTTTTTTTAAAGCAAACTTTGCGTAACTTACTGAGCAAGGTTTCTCCTTCCTTTTCTGCTGAACTTAAACAACTAAATCAACAGTATGAACAATTATTTCATAAATGGATGTTGCAGTTACGGTAAGTACTATTATTTACATGTCTGTGTGTTAAAATCAAAGCAATCTAACATTTAATTTTCTTTTTGCAATCAACTTGATGTATTTTTACGTATAAAATTGTGAAAAAATAGGTGTTTTCCTAATTTGATGACTCAGATGTAGAAATGTCATATTGTATGACTCATCTCAGAAAATCTAGTTTTCAAGAAATGTGTCTAAGTTTATCATATATGAAAGCCATTGGTAAAATAGCCTTTATTAGAATTGTTATTACTTGTAAAAATATTGAAAAATCTAATCTGTCAAGACTGATAAGATATATCAATTAGATTTTTTTCTTTGTTTTTAAGAGAGAGCGCAGGGGAGGGTTAGAGAGAGAAAGAGAGAATCTTAAGCAGGCTCCACGTTCCATGTGGAGCCCCCATGTGGGGCTCAGTCCCATATCCCTGGGATCATGACCTGAACTGAAATCAAGATTCGGACACTTAACCACCTGAGCCACGCAGGTGCCCCTCAGTTAGATTTTAATCCAGTTTTCCACAGCAAAGTTTCTAAAAAGAATATATATATATTTTAATCTTATTCTGTATTCATGTGCTGTAGATCTTCAGGTTTTTATCTGTCCTATAAATACCATTTTACCATTTTAAAATTATTTCTTTGAATATTTTTTGAATTTTACCATTTTTCAGATACCTCAGGTTAAATTTCAAATTCCCATTAAAACAATTAGAACAATGATTAAAAGGAAAACTTTTTTTTTTTTACTATAATTACTTTTACACTTTTATTAAAAAGGATCTTAGTATAAGGAAGTGCTTAAAATGTATGGTATTGTACATGTATACTCACAGTTACATAGTCATAGGGATAAATAAGAAGTCAGGTCCACCAAGCAGTAAAACTAGAAATTGACACAATTTTCCTCAATTGATCCTGGCTTTCTTTTGCCAGTAATACATCAAAGGGTTATGCCTATCTTCATTGCTAGGACCTCAGCTTCTCCTAATAACTTTTTATAGATCTGTTCATTATAAATTTGTAAAGTAGCTCTTCACTCTGATCCCATCCTGCAGCATCCACCAGTTCCTCCTTCCAGTGTGTCAACTCTGATAACTTGTTTGACTTTGCTTCCCAGCCTATACCTCATTCAGCTACTTAACAGAATTGTCGACTCTCTGAATTCCCTTACTTTTTTTTCTGGTGCTGCTACCTTGCACCATCTATCTCTACTTTGGGGGTTATTGCTTTTCTTCTAGGCTCCCCTGCATTGCTACAGAGCATCACATAAATACTGTTTCTGATAGACTTCTATAAACAATCATGGAGTTGAGTTTTAGCTTGACCCCTAGGTGCTTGGTGTTCTAATTCTTCTCATTCACTCTCTGGGCTTTGGTTGCTTTTTGCATGTGAATAACTCCCATGATTTCTCCAGGCCAGCCCAGATCTCACTCCTCAGCAGCATATACAGGTACATCAGTGTATATTGGAGGGTTTCCATGTTGATGTCCTGTAAATAATTCAATATATATAAAATTTAACTCCTCTTAAACCCCTCATTGCCACCTGCCCCTGCAGCCTGGCACAGTGAAAGTCACTTCATCCACATAGTTGCCTAGGCCAAAAAAAACCAAGTTATTTTGAAATATTCCCTTTCTCTCACCTTCTACATCTAATCACTCTCCAAATCCTATTGATTTGACATGTAAAGCTCTTGATAACTTCTATTTTTCTCCATAACACCTAATTCAAGCTCATCATCTTTGGCAGTTTTCCCCTTCTTCTGTGCATTCGCCCTATTCAGCCAGGGTGAAAATATCATGCTACTTTCCTACTTAAAACCTTTCAGTTAACACCTGACTAGTTACTGTTAAATGGTCATTGTCCTTTAAATAAAATCTAATGTCTTAGTTGACTTAACAAGACCTTTGTGATTTGGCCTCTGCTTACTTTTCCTATTTAATCTATTAAAACTCAGCTTCAGCCTGTACAACTGTTTAGTGCCTTGTGCCTCCTGTTGTTCTCCCTTGCCTCCAGCCATCCATCACCTGAAAGATAATAAGAGCTGGAGAGAAAGTTACTGATGCTGGACCTGTAAGTTTGGTGTACAGATAATAATAAAATTGCGCTTTTACCTTGTATAAGTTGAGAATCAATGTAGTTCTTTAGTCATCCTAGTTCTTTCTGTATTTTTTATAAACTTAAACTAGTTAATTCTAAAAAATTAAGTAAGAGGTACTGAACTTTAATTTCATGAATGCTATCTTTCCTAACAGCCTGGGGTTCAACATTGTGCTTTTTGGTTTGGGTTCTAAAAGAGATTTACTAGAAAGGTTTCGAACCACTGTGCTGCAAGATTCCATTCATGTTGTCATCAATGGCTTCTTTCCTGGAATAAGTGTGAAATCAGTAAGTTTCAAAAATGTTAAAAGGAGCAACATTATATCCCCTGCCATTTGATACCCATACCATTTACATTCTGGAACATTCAAATTTTTTTAGCCTTGACACTAGTAGGATTGCATAATGCTTAAGATCATGTGTTGGGACTCAGGGTTCTAGCTTTGAAACCTCATCTCTGAATTTCCTACTTTGTAACTGATAAATATAGTAAATCTTAGAGAAATGTTGGTTTTGTTTACCAAATACCAACAATAGTACTTTTGTGAAGGACAGGATTATGGAAGACTTTGATTTTATTATTGCTTTTATGTCACTTTGGTACTCTAATAAGTAATAGTTTGTAGTTTTATAATGTATCATAGGTCAGTTTTAGTGCAAATGCTTGTGTCCTTTCATCATTTGAAAACAAAAACCTTTTGGTGCTAGATATTAATAATGCAGTATTCCTTTTGAAAAGTGTCTTTAATGTGTGTATCCCATTTCCTTTGATAAATATATAGTTTTCGAATGTTTCCCGTTTTGTTGGAGGAGGGTTATTTTTGCTACCCTCTTATCTTTATGTCTTTGGTATTTTTCCATGTTTCATTTTTGCCATAACTTAATGCCAAAAATGAATTTGATATACTTAAGTACCAGAAGGATTTTTTAAGTGGTTTTTTTAGACTTGATAGGAAATCTAAATTCATTTTTAACTTATAAGAAAAGATTGATTTGCTAGTTGTATTTATCCTATATGATAGAATAAGTAGTAATTGATGTACCTCTTGCACTTTTATGATATAGATCCTGAATTCTATAACAGAAGAAGTCCTCGATCATATGGGTACTTTCCGCAGTGTACTGGATCAGCTAGACTGGATAGTAAACAAATTTAAAGAAGGTAACATGAAGTAGATGCTCTAGTTTTAGGGTAAAGCTAAGCATACACTTATACTTATTCACATACAGATAGGAGGTCCCCAATTTAAAATGGATTGACTTACCACTTTTGATGTTATGATGGTGCAAAACCAATACACATTCAGTAGAAAACCATACTTGAAATTTTGCATTTTTAATCTTTTCCTGGGCTAGGGGTATGTGGTGCTGCACTCCCTTGTGATGCTGGGCAGTGGCAGCAAGCCACAGCTCCCCGTCAGCCACATGACCATGAAAGTAAATAACTGATATAACCATTCTGTACCTGTACAACCATTGTTTTTCACTTTCGGTACAGTATTCAATAAGTTACATAGGATATTCAACACTTTATTATAAAATAGACTTTGTTTTAGATAATTTTACCCAACTGTAGGCTGTTCTGAGCACATTTAAGGTGGGCTAGGCTAATCAACAAGAATGAAATCTTACCATTTGCATTGACATGGATGGAGCCAGCTAAGCAAAATATTTTGCTAAGCAAAATAAGTCAATCAGAGAAAGACAAATACCATACGATTTCCTTCCTATGTGGAATTTAAGAAACAAAACAGATGAACATATGGGAAGGTGGTGGGGGGAAGAGAAGAAAGGAAAACAAACCACAAGAGACTCTTAACAACAGAGAACAAACTGAGGGTTGATGGAGGGAGGTGGGTGGGGAACGGTCTAGATGGGTGATGGGTATTAAGGAGGGCACTTGTGATGAGCACTAGGTGTTGTATGTAAGTGATGATGAATCACTGAATTCTCCTGAAACCAACACTGTACTGTATGTTAACTAAAATTTAAATTAAAAAAACTAAAAAGGTGGGCTAGGCTAAGCTATGATGTTCAGTTGAGTGTATTAAAAATATTTTTGACTTCAATTTAGAATGGGTTTATCGGGATGTATGCCCATCTGAGACTGAGGAAGCTCTGTATTATTCTGTACAGGGGATTATTTCAATAACAACACTTCTCTCAATGATGATTTAGATTTCTCAGAAGTAATTTGCCCTTTCTTTTTCCATCAACTTTTTTGTGAACTTCACTTACCTAACAGGAAAGAATTACCCCAAACACCTTGAATTTGTATAACCAAAAGCCTATTATTTCAGAATAGTTTTCAGGTTTTACTTGGCCTGTGTGAAGTGCCCCCAGTTGATATGTGCATCTTTGGTATTTTTATATTGTTTAATATTTTTATAAAACACTTTTCTTCTTTATTCTCAGTAAATATTACTGCATTTGAATAATTTCATATACTAAAATCTGCAGAATGGAAAAAAAGCATTTTTTTTTTTTTTTAAATAGGCTACATGCCCAACACAGAGCTCAGTGTGGGGCTTGTACTCACGACAGTGAAACCAAGACCTGAGCTGAGATCAAGAGCCGGACACTTAACTGACTGAGCTACCAATGCACCCCTAAAAGCATTTTTTTGTTATTCTTTTGGTGTGAGTGTTTTGGCTATGTGAGCATTTCAGAAAACTAAAAACAAAATTATTTAGGGTCTAACAATTGTCACTTAGTTACTACTTAATAAAAAGGAGTAACTTAAAAAAAAATAAAAGGAGTAACTTAATCTGATAGAGAATTTTGGTATTGTTATAAATTGTTTAAAATAGGTGCCTGAGTCATTTTTCATGTATATATTCATTTATGTAATGCATATTTGGTTATTTATATAAAATATGTTTGGGGGCGCCTGGGTGGCTCAGTCGGTTAAGCATCTGACTTTAGCTCAGGTCACGATCTTGCAGTCCGCGTGTTCGAGCCCCGCGTCGGGCTCTGGACTGATGGCTCAGAGCCTGGAGCCTGCTTCCGATTCTGTGACTCCCTCTCTCTCTGCCCCTCCCCCATTCATGCTCTGTCTCTCTCTGTCTCAAAAATAAATAAATAAATAAATAAATAAATAAATAAATAAATAAATAAAAATAAAATATATTTGTAATTATATAAACTATAATTAAATAAAAGTTTTCACATATGGGTATATAATTTGAATATATGTAACTAATTACATAGTTCATAAATATATATAGTGTAATGCATATGATGTAAACATATAATTTTATATAATTATAAAATAGAATTATATGTCTATATAGAATTTAAACACTATTGATTATGGTGGCTTCTAGAATTTAAGGAACCTTGGACTTTCAAAATGTTCTCAGAATCTTTGTTGCTATAGTCTCTCTTGTCCCTCTAGCCCCAGTGGGAGAGAAATTTACTTACTCTAGTAGGCTTATTGTCCATTATAAATGCTAAATGTCTCATTTCTTACCAACTCCTGAGAGACTTACAGTGGCTTTTAAACATATATAGGACTTCTTCCATCATAAGAAAAGGTTTACCTGATTCTGCTGCCCTTCCACAGTTTTATTTTGTTTCAGTGATTTCAGAGTTTTTGAAGACATGTCATGCCTTTTTACCTATTTCCTCAATTTCTTGCTTCTGTGCTACATGAACTATATGCTTGATTACCTGTGTAATTTTCTTACTAAACACAGTTGACCTTGGCTCATCCTTTATCTTGATCTCTGCGGTAATTAATGGTGTTGACAGCTCCATCCTCCAAATTCTTCCTTCATTAACCTTTATGATACTATTTACTTCTCTGACTTTCCTGATGCCTTGAGCAATATCCTAAATTTCACTCCCTCCCCTTTTTTTGTCTTCTTTGGCTTTTATGATAATCAGGGTTTTCTATCTTGCCTCTTAATGCCTGGTAAGAACTGTGTGTGTGTGTGTGTGTGTGTGTGTGTGTGTGTGTGTGTGTGTGCGCGCGCCAGCTCTACTTCTACCTTGCAATGCAACATGCACAGATTTACCTCCAACCCAATATGCATCTTGCACTATTTCCTGTACCTGATTAAAACTGCTTTCTTTATGATGTGATTTGAGCACTAACCATTCCAGTTAAGTGTCTAACCACCCAGTCCCCACAGATTTTCAACCAATTTCCTTAAAACTTTAATAATATGTTGCCTATTTTTGAGAGACTGCTATCTTCTCAAATATATTACATACTGCTATGCAGTAGTTACCCTTGTCCTATACTACTTTGATTTTTTAATTCACAGGCATTTTGTGTTGTAAGGATTTTACAAATACTCCTTGTAAATAATAATTGAGTTGTCTTTCCTTTTAGATTCTTCTTTAGAACTCTTCCTTCTCATCCACAATTTGGATAGCCAAATGTTGAGAGGAGACAAAAGCCAGCAAATTATTGGACAGTTGTCATCTTTACGTAATATATACCTTATAGCATCTATTGATCACCTCAATGCTCCTCTCAGTAAGTCTTCCCTTCTCTTTCTTGAGATACCAGTCTTAAAAAATTTTTTACTATTGTAAATCAACATTTTTATTGTTTTTTCAGTACACTTTTTTTGTTGCATGCTTAAAGACATGGGTTGCTAAAAATAAAAGTGTCCTCAATCTGATTTAGAGCATAATTCTTGGAAATAAAATTCAGATTCTAAAGGGGGTATTCATTTCATGAAGGAGGAGAGGCCCAACTATTATATTGGTCTTTTTCTACTCTTTGTAAGTATTGCAACATTGACTTTATGCATTTAATTCAGAGACTTTGTGATGATCCTATAGAAAAAAAAATGTTTAAAACACAAAAAGAACAGTGTTATTAAATTTTTTCAAAAGAATGCCTTGGTGTAGCACTAATATATTTTACTTGTATTCAGCATACAAATAAAGATTCAGATATAGATGTTGACTGACAATGAAATTAGATTGTGAGGTACTGATTTGGATGGAAAAATGGCAAAAATGAAAATTTTTAGGATTCATTTATTTCAATGCTTTCTCATTCTTTCCACTTCCTAGAGTGGAATCTAGTAACATGACAGTATGACAATAATTAATAACTCTTGTTTTCTTTAATCATATGCCGTAGTGTGGGATCATGCAAAGCAGAGTCTTTATAACTGGCTCTGGTATGAAACTACTACATATAGTCCTTATACTGAAGAAACTTCCTATGAGAATTCTCTTCTGGTTAAACAATCTGGATCATTACCACTGAGTTCTCTAACTCATGTCTTACGAAGCCTTACCCCTAATGCAAGGTAAGAATTAAAACTACAGTTTCTTTTTAAAAACTCCATACATTTTAAGACATGCAGTAGTAGGTTTTAATGATAATAATAAAGTCTCTACTTAGTTTGAAGGATTAAGAGAAATAGTAAAAACTAGTTGGCAGTACTCGGTTATGCAGTAGGCAGACTCCTCAACAGTAGTGTCAATATTTTTTTTTTCTGAATTTTTATATTTCCAAATTTTTTTTGAGAGACGGAGAGGGCACAAGTCAGCGAGGGGCAGAGAGAAAGTGAGAGAGAGGGGGATAGAGAAGCAGGGCTCACCCAAAGTGTGGCTAGAACTCATGAACCGTGAGATCATGACCTGAGCCACCCAGGCACCCCATTAATTATTATATTTCTAAATAAGACATCTCAAGATAGTGGTCACTGGAGGAAAAAGAATTTTGATTTTACTTAAATCTGAGGGTTATTTTTAATTATATACTGAACATTCTGATTCAAACATGGGGCGCTTCACATGAAATAACTCATTTGATCCTCACAGCTACTCTAAGGTAGATAGCAACGGGCAGAGATTTTGATCCACATCTGCTGGGCTCCAAAGCTCTTGCCCTTAAAGATCTTTGTATAATGTCTCTAGTGGAGCCCTTTCAGCAGCCCCACCAAGAGGTGTATCTGAATTAAGAAATGCTAAGAAAAGCTGGATATGGCATAAACTGGCAAAACATAAAGGGCATGATAACCTATTGAAAAAGGCTTTTAGTACCAGTTCTCCCCCCAAAAGAATAGAATTCTAGAGCAATTTTTAACAAGATGAAGTGTTTGAAAACAATAAACCCTGTTAAAAATAATTAAGATTTGAAAAGATGAAAAATAGTGTGTTCTTGGATGAGTGGACTGAACA